AGAGAGAGAGAGAGAGAGAGAGCACGTCTGTCTGCTGAAATGAATTCTGAAATGAAGAGCTGTTATTAAGGGCAGATCGTATCCACGCTGCTGTCATGTGACCGCGAGCTAAAGAAACAGACGTGCATTAGCTTCTTTGTGTATTAATGCTCGTAGACATCCAGGTCTCTTTAATCACGCCTTCCACTTCCAACAAGCTCTTTTATTCTCTCTCTCACCCTCAAGCTGCACTCTCTTCTCTCTCTTTCCTCTGATTCTCTAAATGTTCAGCTGGCTCTCTACAGCTCCTTATCTCGTGTTAAGCTGCCGTACAGTTTAATCTCCATCTGCGGACTCTGTGTGTCTCGCTCCCACCTTGATCTGCACTCTTTGCTCAGTCCTGACCCGTCCTCTCCTTATGTCTTTTCTACGTCTTTCTGTCTAAACACAGGACTAGCATGCCGACACTATGTACATTTAAAGAGTTATTTCCAGGAGATACGGTGGAGGCGGAGGGGACGCGTAACAGCCGTATGAACATACTAAAGGTGAAGAAACCACCATGTTTAAGGAGAGACGGCAGCGAGATGATAGGCTAACAATGATGCCGCTAAATCTGACACACTGCTCCCTCAAGTATGCAGGTTACATAACAAAAGTGAGGTAAAATAACTCAACGGTGACTTTTGGTTTCACACGGGACACAAGTAGCGGTCTCCATCCATCCACCCCGACCTTCCTACGCAGACTTTATTGCTCTGCGTACCACTTCACTTCCTGCCTCACAATTATGTGTGGTTATATATGAATTACAGTGCATTACTAAACCGGCCACATGTTAGCAAGCTAGTTCTGTCAGTTAGCAGGTGTAAATATTCACCAACAACTAATCAACTAATCTCAGAAGAACTAGTTTTGTGGTGCAACTTGTTTAGAGCAAAGCATGAGTCTCCTCTTAGTACCTTTTCCTTTGTTGTTTATGCCTCTCCTCCCTTTTTCTCTCTTATTTCTCCATCATTTCTTCCTACGAAATAACTGCCATTCCTCCCTCATCTTCATTTCCTCCGCTCATTCTCTTTCTTTCCCGTTTCCTCTTTGGTGTCTGGTATCTGTGTTTGTTTGTGCTGTAAATACGTTCGGACTGAGCCTGAGAAATCCCTCACTCTGTCTCATTCTGCACCACAACAACACACTATTGTATATTACTGTATATACCTCACACATTCTCCCAGCACTTGTTTCTTCTCTCACCATTTTTTCAACAGCATCATAGCGACTGCTGTGTCATCACATCTCCGCTTCGTCACTCTATCGTCCTTCTGTCCCTCTTTCCATTCCTCATCTCTCAGTTTGAAGTACAGGAATTCTCCCTCTTCCTTACCAGAAAGATATTAGTTGTTTGTTAATTATTTCTAATCATTATCTGTGACTGCATACTGTATGTATCTGTAGTGTTTAACTTACATTAGAAAAACTTGTCGTGGCTCGACAGCAAAGAAATAGTCAAAACATTACAAAACAGTATTTCTTTAGCAATGCTAGCGACATGCTAGGTTGCTATGAAAGCTATTCAGACATGATTGAAAATGTCTTTTTATAAGATGACTACTACACAGAGCAGAATTGTACACATTTAATGTTACATTCTAATGCAGTCACTGAGGTTTGACGTTTGCACATCGTGCAGACAAACATTTACAAGGTGGGATTAAAGTCAAAGCTCTGCATGAATGTGATTATTTAAGACTGTGCCCTATGTGGAGGCTGGACTCTAAAGGAAGAGGAAACACTGCAGAGCCCAGCAGAGACAGAAATCAGCTGCCTGGTGAACTGGAAAATAATGAGAGGGGCTTTGTATCCCCTGAGACTCGCTGCCACCTCCGTCCCTCAGGTTCTCCACCCTTTCATCATCAATTAGTTCCTTTCTTTACATGTTTTCTTTTCTTGTTTTCCAGCTTTCTTTTTTGCTTCAATAACTCTCTCGATTGTCGTTGATTCTTCCTCTCGCTCTCAATTATCGCTCCCTTGGCCTCTTTTGATTGAACCTCGTGATACGTTTCCTATTACCGCCACAATAGAGGAGCAGAATGGAGCAATCTCCACCGAGCGGGTGACGCTTTGGCTTCAAAACCCTCTCTTATACGCTTTCCATCGCACCGACGTAGTACCGGAAACTCTTATCTTTTTACGTCAACATTCTTCAGTGCTGGGCGGGTAGTGTACAGCGGAGGTCTTAGAGGTTTATTTTAGCTGAAAACAGCTGCAAAGGCTATGAGAGCAGTGAGAGGGAATCACAATTGTAAAGTTGCAGGATGGAAAACCCAAAAAATAAGCTGAATAAAGCTTTATGCTCCTTCGAGCAGAGGTACACGGCATGTTGCACATTTGATCCATGTCTGTGTATAAACCATAGACCGTCTATGGTGAGCAATGTTAGCACCGATCGATCCAGACTCCATTCATAAAACAAGCATTTTAAAAGCTGTTTGCTTGTTGTCTTGCGGACAGACCGGACAAAGCACGAATTCAGACTTTTTTGCGAATCTGCATCATTATGTAGTTATTTCGGCATCCTTTTTATCCGTTTATTGCAGTTAAATCACAGCAAAATCTGTTTATTTTGGCTTCATACAGCTGTTAACCAGCAGACGTGTGGCTTAATAGATAACGGTGACTATAGCTCGGTGAAATTTGAGTTTGACGTTAAATTAAATTGAATGACAGAGCTAATAGGCGTGCATGTCACCACATCCCACCAGTAACAGGATAGATGTAGGTCGGACAGAGTGTACTGTACGTACAGCACAGCGCACATGTCCGGTCGAGTGCTGATGCTTGTTTGTCTCATTCAGCGTGTCCTCGTTCCAGGATTCATAATGAGGCAATAAACTATCTTAATGCACTCCAGAGGACATTTCCTCCCGCAGTTTGCAACACCAGACTGTCAGTGAGCGGAGCTGTGACAGGCTGCTCATAAACCGAGCACAGAAGCCGGTCAACAAGCCAGTAAAACATTCATTCTAAATCACAAACCTGTTATATGCAAAGTAGATAGTCCTGTGTTTGACATGATTGAAGGCCCAGGATTATTCTGGTTCATGACAACCTGGGTCTTATCTTCTACTAACATTATATGAACCAATCTGGGAACACGGTGACATCTGTAAAAACAAGTCAGACAAGGAAAGGAAAGCACTGGTCAGACATCATCCAAACGTAAAACGGTGGATTAAACAAACAAGATATAACTTTTGAGATACTGGTGTGCAGAATGTGTTCCCTGTAGACAGAGGCAGGCTAGCTGTTTCCTTCTGTTACCAGTCTTTTTGCTAAGCTAAGCTAACCAATCTTCATATTTTACCAACAGATATGAGAGTGGTATCAATCTAACTCTCCATCATAAATATAATAAGTGTATTTACCGAAAGTGTCTTTGTCTTCAAAATTGTGAATACATATTGGGGGGGGTACGAAAACAAGTTTTCGTAGCAGGCTGAGTGTAATGTGAGCCAGAAGACATACTGCGTAGTTTCTCCACTTCTATATTCTAGTTGTTTTATTCGCTTGCTTCCTCATTTCTAGTCAAAGACTCTGTCAGCTGGTTTCCCTTTTGCAGCACTGCGGTGTTCATAACTGATGAGTGCCTGACTGTTTGGGCAATTACCACAGAAAGAGAAATGATTAAAAACCCGTGGTCCCGACGCCACAATAAGCCTTTAAGCCTTCATAACCACTTCATGCTCCTCTGAACCAGCTTGCATGGGAAACACAGCTACCGCAGCTCCCTGCAGGATGGGAAGCTCTGGCCGCCGGCCCAAGTTAGTGCTTTAGAGGAAACTTTGCTCCTTTATTGTGAGGCTCAGAGATGCATAGGTTTGCACTCTTCTCACTCTCTCTCTCTCTCCTCAGTACTGCTCAG